ACCTATAAGTTTTTCATACTATAATGGAAACAGGACAGGACACCATTAAATGTACATGACTAAATATGCAACATTCAAAAAGTTACATAAGCGAAAGAAAACATTTGTATCGGAAAGCATTTAACGTATTGGAACTGTGTGACTTAATCGCAGTGGACTGTAACGACAAAAACAGAAGAGCATCCAAAAAAAAAAAGCATTAAATCTCTAAAATCTGTTTGTTTTGCACCATGTTCTTCAGGATAAGAGGCTTATTGGGAGAAATTGTTTAATTGACTTCATATTTAAAACCCATCTTGACAGGGGCTTTAAAAACACTGTACTCATGCCTGCATCGTGCCTTAATTATCCAGATGTTGAAAACCAGCAGTGACTGCTCTTGATGGCTACCGTATGGAATTGTGGCTTCGGTGACTTCGAGATGCATTTTAAATCTGTTCAGGCAGTAATAAGCCGATCATGTTTCCATATTTGCTCGTTAACTTTCTCCAGCTGTACTTAATCTTTTAATTTAATGAATAAACTTCACAATGATTTCTGCATAGCTTTTCTGTAAAGACTCTTCTTTTTCTGCTGCCTCCAAAGACTTAAAAGTTAATTACCTGAAATTCCCCCGTGGTTCAATAATAGTTTTTGTTTGCGATCCCCTTATCTTTGTGCTCCATGAGTGCACAGTGGTATTTACCCGCCTAACCCCTTCTGTTGTTTGCAAAATACTTTTAGGCTAGCGAAAAATAAGAATATATATGATTTCATATTGTGAAAGTAATTCACTTTGGCATGCAACATTTAAAGTAGCTGCTGGGGTAGAGCAGCTTGTATTTCTGACAGGTTAGAAATTGAATAAAGGTCTGTTGCTTGGAGGTATTTACCCTGACAGCAATACTGCTGTATATCAAGCCCATTCATAAGAGATGGGCCAGTTGCGGGTGGATGGTCTATATATCAAACAAGGGAGTTATGAATCTCCCACCTGTGGAAGAGAATATAGGAAATCCTTGTGTCAGTTACGTGTCTTGTGAAAATACCAGCAGACACAAAGTTATGAGGGTTTTTTCTGTGTGTTTTTTAGGCTGGCTTTTAAGGAAATGTCAGCATTAGAGTATGAGATGAAATAATACTGTAGAGATTAATGGTTCGCACTTACAGCATTCCACTCCTACTTTTCTACTCCTACACACAGGTACTCATTCCTTTGCAAATTCTGTCAGCCTTACATATTGAATTCAATTGGTCTCAGACGGTAAGTGACCCAGGTTTATTCATACCCTTGAGCTGCAGCAGCGGCCTGCTTTTGGTCCTGGCCAACGTGAAATCAGCTCTTTGTGTTCAACTAACACAATTACACGAAGCCCTGCTGTAATCAGCGTGGACCGTTAAATCCTGAGGTCATCGTGTTGATCAAATCAACACGATCTGAAGCAAACCTTTGGCTTTTAACAAAGTGTTGCCATTTGTGTGAGGTTTATATAAAATACACTGCACTGGGCGAACACAGCCATCAGTACTCACAACAAGAAGGTCAGAATACTGCATTTTTGTAAGGCACCACCCAAATGACACTTTGATGGATGCACTCAAATGTCCTGCTTGAGGAACTCTGGACCGGTTCCATGACGAGGACAAAATCCTCATTGTTTCTCCTGAATCCAAGGACTAACAGGTAGTTCCCTGGCATCGGCTTTACCAGGGATACTGAGGCGTGTGATCCCTTTGTTAAAACACACTTTTGTTAAAAACGGGATCCACCACCTCAGCTGTCAATCCAGAGGTAACAACTTACAGAAGCATAAGGGGCGAT